TAGCTCACAGGCTTCGCTCCATGTATATCATTTTCTCAACACCTTGACATGTCTCTGAATGAACTGTAAAATCAGCTGAAGAAAGGTTTGTGACTTGGTCAAAAGATCAAGCAAGTGAATGAACCCTGAGTGGACATCAAATTGTTGATCGCAAGTGTTGATTTATAGATGACAAATACTGATATATGCTGTAGCTAAAATGACCCACATTTATAGCAGCATTTGTGATTGAGATCAAGTTAGTTCAATGTTCTGATTCCACTTGGGTCATTTTTTTGTAGTTTTGGCCATGACTTCTAGCAGTAATAATATCAATTTAATTATGAAATTAATGGCTGAGATCAGAAAACATGGCAGCGCTGCTAAAAAGAAGTCCATTAGGGCAAGAAACACAAGCACTCAACCCCCAGATTAGCCATCCGTTATATGTGTACAGACTTAATTTAATTTACCTTGCCTGCCAGATCATAGTAGGGGTTGGGTGTAGCTCAGGTGGTAGAGTGGGTCGTCCACTAATCAGAAGGTTGGTCTGACTCCTCCTGCTGCAAGTCTAAGTGTCCTTGAGCTGATACGGATACCCCAAATTCAGTATGTGGCATGTAGTGTAAAAGCGCTTTGAGTGGTCGGCACTATACAAGTACAGTCCATATACCATTTACAGCAGTTACTTCGGTGAAAGTTTTTTTTTTTTCAGAATAAAGATCGAAATGATGGCAAAAAGGAGACCAAAGTTGTGATAAAACCAGAATTATCCCTTAAAACCACTTTGTATGAGATGTTTACATTTATTTGTCTACCACCTACTTTGAATAATATACATTGTGTTTGTTCTGGAGAAGGCAGAAAAGAAGTGTTTCCTCCTCTATCTGTCATCACTGAAAAAGTACTGTCTTCATTCCACTCAGCTCAGCTCAGCCACCTGTAGAGTATCGGAGTTAGTTATTGCCATATCCGAGCTAACTGAAACATACAGTAATCATCACCCTGAAGTGAGACACTGGGAGGGGAGGGGATGTGCGCCTTATTCAGCGAGGATCGGTAATTAGCTGTGAAAGAACACGCAGTGCTGTGGGTGCTGCGAGAATATGGCAGTGGGTATGAGCAGTGTGTAATTATGTGGGTCTCATGGTGTGTCTAAGGAATTCACAGTGGTGGTGCTTAATGATAATACTCATTCTGGGCAGTTTTGCCAAAGGCGTCTATATATTACACAACCCTCCTTTCATGCTGAAAATACCCATCTAGCACTTTTGAACCACTTGTGCTGCTGTAGGAAAGGCAATGGCAGACTTTATTCCATAGATTATATTGAGAAAAAAAGATTGAGAAGGTTGGCACTGAACATTAGAGTATATATACATCCAACCGTTTCAATGGGGGTCCTGTTGGTGTGGTTCTTCAGGATGTACTCTGACACTGCTTTCATTTTTTGTGACGTTCCCAGAGCCATGGATAGTGTGGTGTGAGTTTGCCTCTGTCATCACACATCCACACATTTGCAGAGTTTATATGTTCTTTATTTGTTTAATAGATAAGGCAGAGGATATTTTAGCTTTTGTTACTGTCAACAAATCCCATGAAAAAAAAAGGCAGTGTGTGATTGATTAAAAATAAACTACAGATTTATTTTATTGAAGGAGCATGTCAGCCAGTGCAACATGTGGCTAATTGTTGCGTTTTTTAAATTTATTTTACAATAGAAGTCAATGGCACAGAGGAATAAGCTGTATCTGGCTTTAGCTAGACATAAAATACTTGCTAGTGGAAACAGTTTATTGTTGGTTTTAGTCTTTTTCAGTAACAAAAAATATAGAATATAACCAGCTGTATCCTGGCCATATTTTGTGCTCCAACAGAATTTGCATCTGCACCTGGGTTGTTTTGGTTTCAGAAAAAGAAATTAGAGAACAAAATGTAAGAATTGAATGAGAAGGGAGGACTCTGGAAAAAAAAAAAGAGAGAGAGAGAGCGCCCAATGCAGAAAATAGGGAAAATGGGAAAGCAATTTAGGCCAGCTGTTGGGTGGAGGACTGCATAATGAAAGTGATCATATTCAGCATGGAGAATGAGACTGAGGAGCACCATCAGAAATATGTGGGAGAATATGGAATTGGATATTACATTTCTGGAACTGCTCCTTGAGTAATGCCTCTAGCTCCTCCAACAATCAGATAGGACTTTTCAAACTGGATTTGTCCCCGTCCCTCCAGGCCACGTCACCGTCAGTCAGAGTCTGTCTACCAGCAGATGATCTGCCTCTCATCGCCACTCCGCCATGGACGCTTTCTGCCTTTATTGCACAGCAGACATGTGGCATAACATTATGCTAGCTTGCCCGTTAAAAGCTGTGTTTTTAATGTTGAAGTGCAGAATTAGTGCCCCCCATGGGCTGGAGCCTAAGATTCCTTTTTTGTGTCAGCTCTTTTGGAAGTGTTTTGTCTGAGTGTGAACATGCTGTGAATATGGTATGAATATGGAGTTTGACCTAGTGGTCTGATGCTGATGTGGATTCTATTGTGCTAACTGAGAGCTGTTTTTAAAAATGTGTACACCTCATTTAGCTGTGTCAGTGAAGATAGACTAAATAATACAAACACCTCTTAGTATAATACAATATAGCTCAACAGCACCACAAACTACACCCATCAATAAACTTGTAATTAAGTTTTTACCTCCGGGTATAATTAATGATAAAATAATAATCGTGAAATGTGATTTGGTCTTAGCTTATAATGTTACAATAAATCATTTTCTCCTCCAAGGATATAGGTGCTCCTGGTGTGCATATCTTATGAAGAGAGTGATGGACCAGTAATAAACCAATAAAAACTGCCTTCATTACAATGTAGCTAAAACATATCACCACCTAATGTTGAATAAAAAAATAACCTTTATCTCCTCTTCCTCCCGTATCTCTTAGTTGTCTCCAGGTTCGGAGGAAGATGATCATGAGGGTCCAGTGTGTGAGAAACTGGGTCGCATTCAGTTCAGTGTTGGATACAGTTTTCAGGACTCCACCCTCACTGTCAAAATTCTCAAGGGTCAGGATTTGCCTGCTAAGGACTTTTCCGGCACCTCTGATCCGTTTGTCAAACTCTACCTGCTGCCCGACAAGAAGCACAAACTGGAGACCAAAGTCAAGAGGAAGAATCTAAACCCCCACTGGAACGAGACCTTCCTGTTTGAAGGTTCGATGGAGGAGGCTTTCCTTATGCCTTTAACAAAGTTCACAGCACATGCAGGCACTCTTAAGCTGTTTCTTTGGATCTGTGCATAACTGTGACTTATCAAGACTTTGTTGTGTCAATTTCTTTCTCAGGATTCCCCTATGAGAAGGTGGTCCAGAGGACTCTATACCTGCAGGTTCTCGACTACGACCGCTTCAGCAGGAATGACCCCATAGGAGAGGTGTCCATCCCCCTCAACAAACTGGACCTGGCCAACATGCAGACTTTCTGGAAGGAGCTGAAACCATGCAGCGATGGCAGCGTGAGTAAGATGGAAAAGGGGGGGTAGAGGAAAGAAGAGGGAGAGGGAGGAGGGGAAAGAGAAGATGGGACAGAATGTAACGGTGATGTCATTCCTGGCTGCCGTGATGCTCCCGGGGGAGATATGGCAGCGTGCTGGTGGGAGAAGAGATAGAAGGGAGTATGGAGAGGCTGACAGGTTGACGGAGAGAACACAGGCAGCCACAGGAAGAAACAGAAATACACAGTAAGCAACAGAAGGGAGAATAATGTTAAAAGGGGATAAAAAAGTAAACAATCCCGCTGTTGCTGTGTATGATTTCTCTAGGGGAGTCGAGGGGATCTGCTGGTGTCTCTGTGCTACAACCCCACAGCCAACACCATCACTGTGAGCATCATCAAAGCCCGCAACCTCAAAGCCATGGACATTGGAGGCACTTCTGGTATAGATGCTCCTTCATCTCACTTGTCCTTTTATTGTTCTGTTGTACTTCTACATTATTGCTGCTTCAAAATGATAATGAGAAAATTTTGTTTTTTGTTCACCACCACGAAATGATGGCAGCGAAACTAACATTGCATTCAGTGATGGTAAACGAGTGCATTTTCCTCTCCTCAGACCCCTATGTAAAAGTGTGGTTGATGCACAAGGACAAGCGTGTGGAGAAGAAGAAGACGGTGGTAATGAAGCGCTGTCTGAACCCTGTTTTCAACGAGTCCTTCCCCTTTGACGTGCCTGCCCACGTGCTGAGGGAGACCACCATAATTATCACTGTCATGGACAAGGACAGACTCAGTCGCAATGATGTCATTGGAAAGGTATCTCCTTCTCTCTTCTTCCCTTCTTCTTCTTCTCTTTCTTTGTGTTTGTCGGACTCTGTGACAGACCATAAGCAGCCGATCACTGAGCCAGTCTCTACTGACCCCTGCTGGAACACGCAGACCAATCTTCTGCATTGTAAATTAATAAATAAAACAAATGAGAAGATTTGAAAACACTTAATTTTGAGTGTGAACCAGTTGTTTGTATTTAGACACCAGTGGCATGCAGGCCAACCCAAGTATATCCTCTTATGTGTATCCCCTTAATGTACATTTCATATTATCACTAAATGAACGTGGAACGTGTGTCCAAATTCCCCCAACTGCAACTGGAATATCCTTTATGATTTTGATGTATAGGGCATATTGTGTTATTGTCCATTTGTTGCCTGAAAATTTCAGTTATGATTCAGTTGTGAATTCTCTCGAAGAAAAACACATCTATTGCCCCCAGAGACGATTGGCTAGTCCAAATTGTTCAAGTATCTAATATTTCAGTTGTTGCATTACTGCATGTAACACACATACATGTGGACTGAGTTAATTAAACTGATTAGTTAGTTTAAGGGTCTGTTATTTCCAAATTATTTCTCACAATGTAATTTGGTGCAAATTTGGGACATAGGCACAAGTTCTGAGAACTATTTGAGTTATTAGAGTTTGGTTAGTTATGATCAGTTAGATAGTTTTTAATTTAAGAATTTCTTTAAAACAACTGTTCAATTTTAAGCACAAATAAATATGCCTTCATTATTTATTTATTTTTGGAAACTTAAACTATCATATATGTTGAACTGTGTGGTTCATGTAGACAAGGTCACATTTTTGCATGTTCAGCTGACTTTGTGTGCACTGACTGAAAGAGTACGGGCTACGCTAGCTCAACAATTTATTGAAATTAATTAATTGGGAGTGTACCAATTAAACACTGTCTCTGCTTCAGCTATAATTGTTGGCAAATTCATTTTTTCTTTTCAGGAAACTTCCTAAAATTATTAGGAATTTACAGACCCGTAAAATAAACCATTGCCTTACTTTCTGCTATTCCATTATTTCATCCACATTAATTTATCCCATTACTGATTCATATAACTCAGCTCCAACCACATCAGTCCCAATTCCCAATACCCACTTCTCTATAAGTATACTGAAGAGTAAAGCTCACTTACACAATTTATAAATGTCTGTCTAAAATGCTGGAAAGACCACAAAGCTCAAATCAAATCCTTGTTCCTTCAGACACTGTAAGAATAATCTTTGAGCTGTGCACTGCATGAATGAGCTATTATGCTCTCTGTCATTCATGCACATCTACTGTAATTGCAGGTGCTGCATCCTAGATAATATATATTATCTGCCTACACACAGCAGTTATAATATGTTGCCTATTATACCACACTCATAAATAACTTGAAACTGGTCAGAGCACAATGAAACACAGTATTCCCTGTGACAATTACAGATCAGGAGTTTCTTTCTACATGAGAATTACTTAAAGACTCAGTGTTTGATTGTCATTAGTGTCAGCATTAGCCTTTCTCAGAGTATTTCAGTGAGTGAAATCTCTTCCTCTAATGGCTCCTTTTCTGCCCTGGATTTGAGTTAAATTCCAATTAGAGTGGCAGCTTAGTGGTGAAAGCAGGGATAGACTTAACTCACAGTAAGGTTTTTTGGGGGAAGGCTCTTTACAAACAACATCAATATCTGTGTGACATTACATGTGTTACATTGGCTCTCTCTTTCTCACAGATTTATCTTTCATGGAAGAGTGGCCCTGCAGAGGTAAAACACTGGAAAGACATGATGGGTCGTCCTCGCACTGCTGTGTCCCAGTGGCATGCTCTCAAGGCCTGAGGAACCAACAGTGTTTTTCCCCTCAGAATTCAGCATCAGCCTCTCAGCCCCTGCTCTCAGCACATATCCCCTACCCCCTAACTGCAGTCTTGGGCTGCAGATAATGTGTGTCATCTCTTTGTTCTCAGGCCTCTTTGATATCTTCTGCTCTTAGTCCACGTGACACCATCCTTAAATTTCACCCTTGTCAAGTTCTGATTCCCACCTGACCCCCTCTCTCTTTGTCTGAACTTAAAAATGTCTTTGATGTCTTTCCTCACTCCTTCCTTGTGCCCTCTTTCTATGAGATGTTTTTTTTCCAAGATACTCCTCAGTCTTTCCTCCACCTTGTCAAACATTCCATGTGTTTAACATCGGAGCAGTACTTCTTGCCACCCATGAATACAAACTACCAACCAAAAATGGATCAAACTGATATTCCAACCATCCTCTGTGGTGGCAAGATGGGCTGTGTTCAAACATGCATCTGAGTGTGAATTGCGCTGACCTGTGCAACCCATTTACCAACTACATCTGGTGTTGTAGTGAGGAATCTTCCACTTTGCTCCTCGCCTCTTTCTTCAAGTCCTCTTCCGTTACTGTCACTATTCCTCAATACCCTTAAAATGCCTGAAAAATCAGGAAAACCGACACAGGCACTGGAAGAGTGATGGGCTGTATTTAAAATGGAATTAGACTGGAATTGGACTCCGTCGCTCAACTCATGTTTGATCTTTTTCACTTTTCACTCTCTCTCTGGCACCACTGTAATAATTCTCCCTTGGCTGGAACTCTTCGTTGTCTGTGTGTGCTGTGGGTGATGTGCTGTAACCCCAAATGAAGTTCTTCAACAAAAAAAAAGGATATGAACATGAACATTTAACGCTGGTCCAATAGGGCAAGTGTAAAAAAAAATATATATATATGATCCTATTTTCTTGGAAAAGAAATCCTGATGGACAGAAAAAAAAGAGTAAAGTGATTAATGTTGTGTTTTATTTTTGGTTTTCAAAAGAATTTAGAGAATCAACCTGCTCTTCCAGACACAGAAAATAAGCAAAAAGCCAGCTTCCATAAGTGTGGAAGTGTGGGTTAATGGATGTGTGTATGTGTGTGTGTGTCTGTGTGTGTGAATGAGGGAGTATTTTGGACTTGCACAGCTAATTTAAGATATTGCTGAAACAGCAAAGCCCTTGATAATGATGGTAAAAACAAGGTATTGTTAATATTTGTGGTGTTGTTAGCTGAAGACGTGGGGAGGTCACTAAGGTTAAAGGGTCAATCCACCCAAACCACAAACACCCATACCACAAAGTGTAAGTAGGCAAAACATTGTTTTTGTTTTGATGACAAAAAAAATATTCCCAATGTTAGCTTTTTACGTGTTTTCAACCACATTTCACAGTTTTCTTCAGCAGATGGACTCAGTTGAAGATCACATGGTAAACTTGCACACAGTGGAATTACATCAGCACGCTCTAAGCCAAAAGCATCAGTGATGGGGCCAAAAGCTGCCACACCTTGGGGAACACCAAACAAACATCACTGGACGCAACTTGTGCAAGCCAGGAACTGAACGTGGTTTTTCCACCATGAGATCTTGGATCAAACTGAACACTCCACCCACTGAGGAAGATCCTGGGATGCATTCAGTAGGAAAAAGCTAGAAAGTAGACCTTGAATTTTTTTTTTCTGTCAAACTACATTCACATTTTGTGATTTGGGTGAAGTGACTATGAATGCAGCCAGTAAATGACTTTGTTAGGGTTACATATGTATAATGTATGTAATATGTTAAGAAATCAGATGAGAAATAAATCAGTTAATCTGAATCAAAATGCACTTTTTATGTCACCCATGTCACCCTCTGTGTCTATCAGCGGCATTAATCTGTGCATTAAACCTAGAAAAAGGCATTACAGAACCCTACAAAGCTTTTATTTTTTTGATTTTTACTGAGTATTATGAGTCCAAGGGCAATATTAGACTAGGTTTTTATGTTATTTTGGGGGGTTTTGAAAAAGGTACAAGTCAGTCTTCCAGTTGTTTGCTTCACTGCCTGCATGTGACCTCCCCAAGTCCCATATAGACATGTGCTGATTGGATGAATGGAAACAAATGAGAGTAATAATATCTGGGGGAAAACTCTTTTTACATTCCACTGTTCGTTTTTGTCTACTGGCTGTGTGTGTGTGTGTTTGCACTGTGGGTGAGTGTCAATATTCGAACTTTAGGTTGTGTGATTGTACTTACTGTGAGTCCCTCTGTGTGTGTATATATCTGCACTGAGTTCTATTTTGCCAGTTTAATACAGAACAACATTGTTTACCGTTTTTATTCTGTATGAAACAATCCAGATGTACAAAGAAATATGTTTTTTTAAAGTTGTCACTTCTTTAAGAATCACTGCACTTGTTGACGACGATGCTGGAACAAACCTCTCCTCATAGCAAGGTTATTTTCCTCATGTGTGGTTTAAAGGACGTTTGGATTGGGTGGAGGCAAATCTGTTATACATGAGCAGAGAGTGAAGGTCAAAGGAAAAATGTCACAACCAAGCTTTACAACAAACCTAGATAAAACCTGTTCTCTTTGACCGCCAGACAACATATTTTTGGTTCAGACAGAAGCAGCTACCAACATTTTGTCCTATCTGTCCTTCTTATCTGGTCCGATCTGATTCACCAAGACCAAAAAAATGAAGGGTGGCACCTTAACATCAGAGCTGACGTTCCCCCAAAACACCCCCGTCGTGCACACATGCTTTCTGGCACAAAGTGTTCTGTGTGTGCCTTATAAACCCTGCCACGCCTTGCTCTTCACCATATGTGCTCCCTCTCCAAGTGTCAGGGAGGGGGGAGGAAAAAAAAAAGGTGAGATAGGAGATAATCATCACCTCTTTGCATCACTGTTAGCTACGTCTCAGGTCAGAGCAGAGCATCGGAGCATCCTAAAATAACCAGGAACACAGTCATGTGTCTGTCTTGATGGCCCGGTGTGTTAAACAAGGCATTATGTTGAGTCCTGCTGACAAAGCATTACATTCCAAAGGCTTAGTGAAAGTCACCTTAATCAATGCAAGTTAACTATTATATAACAGTCAGGGTTTGGTATATTTTAGTTTTAAGAAATCTTGTGTGTCTACACTCTTCACTGGCCAAATAGAATAAACTGGACTTGGACAAGCTTGCATTTCTGATTTAGGGCATTCTCTTGGGGGACTGCTTGAGACAAAGAGAGGTTAACCAGCAGCATTTTAATTTATATACTGTACAAATGATTGTGAAGTGTCCTGTATGAAAAAAAAAATCATCAGTATTTACTGGGGTTGTCTGTCTGTCCTTGGTATCACTCAGCCCCCTCTTTTCACTCCCTTTTCTCTTTGTAGTTACACATCCGTCGGGTGCACAATGTTAAATATCAACCATTTATTTTTTTGAAATCTGTACAGTGTATATAAAAATATAAATGTGTATATAAAACAAAGATACTTCTGGTATTGTTATGAATTTTTCAGAGGCTTGTTTTTTATAATTTCTTTTGGTCATGAATGTATTACAAAAAGGTTTATACAGTGTAGTCGGTTCTACATGAAAGCATATGTGGAAGAAGATCCTTTACTTAAGTAAAAGTACTATACATCAATATAAGAATACTCCGATGCAAGTCAAAGTCCTGAATTCAAAAACCTACTTAAGTAAAAGTACAGAAGTAATTCCACAAAATGTAGTAAGTATAAAGCAGTACTGCAAAAAACACATCATATATGATTTTAATTACTCTATATACTGTATTTTAGTCCAGTGGTCCCCAACCACCAAACCATTATGTAAAGTCCTAACCTGAAAAATAACTGATAACTACAGCTCTCAAATAAATCTAGCAGAGTAAAAATATTTCCCTCTGAGATGTAGAGGAGCAGAAGTTAAGAGGCATAACATGAAAATACTCAAGTAAAGTAAAATTAGACATAAGTAATTGTATTTAGTTACCTTCCATCACTGCACGAGGAAGGATGGACGTAAGTCAACTTACAACACAAGAATACTATCTAAAACCATGAGTGTAAATTAGAGACGCTAAGTGCAGCTTTCATCTAAGAAACAAATTTCACAGAGATTTGCTGCTAACTCACTGTCAATCCCAGTTATCTCAGTTTTCTTCTTTTTTTTTGTAGAAACTTAATTGCAAATACATGGACCAACTGATGAAGCCACAATTATTCCAGCCACTGCTTGAAATACATCCACACTTTATTTTGCTCTCTCTTCCAGCTCATGCAGAAAGAGGGCCAAGATTTTAAGGGTAATTAACACAGATCTTGAGAATTGGTGAAGATCTCTAGAACTAAGAAAATTGCCTGCTCTGCCTCCTACACACTACATTTCACTGCATCTGACAGAAGATAACATCTAAGAGAAAAACTCTGGCTGTATGTAATGTTGAGAAAGGGTGTTTTAATTTACCAACTTGTCTAAGATCCTCAAAGTTAAACCAGCCAGAAGTATGTCTTACCAGTGAGAGCAGTTTTCCTTTGCGCTCCTCTGCTCACGACTCTCCAGCAGACATGGGAAGACAAGATGAAGGCTGGGGTGCTGGTGGTGGTCGTGGAAAGAGGAAACAAGAGAACATGAGATTGAAATTCCAGGGGAGCAGAGGGTGACGGCAGGGCTGAGGATAAAACAGAGAGCTGTCACGACACAGGAAGCAGCAGTGGAGGATGACAGGAGCGCTGGGCTACAGATAGGCACTGTGGGTGTGCGTGGGCAACTGATGAATACATACTCTAAACAAGCCTCAGAGCAATGAAGATGTGAATGTTTCTCCCTATGCACGTGGGATCCACAAGTGGCATTTTTTTCTTTCTTCAAGGCAGGAAATTGTGACAGCCAGCAAGGTTCACATTTAACTACTGTCAAATTAATTGTAGGGTGTAGTGCAGGACATCTACACAGGCACAATTATGTGACTATTGATTCAAACTTTTTAAATTCCTGGTTTACTTTATGCTTTAAGACCAGTGGTGGAAGAAGTATTTAGATCATCCTTTAGTGTTAGTAAAAGTAAGTACCAATACAACAATGTAAAACGACTCCATCAAAAGTCCATAAATAAAAATAGAAATACAGACGTATTTGCAGCAATATGTACTTAACTAATCAAATGTAAAAGTATTCATTTGCAAGATAAATGAACCCTGCGAATGATATGTATTATTTATATATCTATTGATAGTTAAAATGAATGCATCAATGTGTAAACAGCCTTTTACTGCTGTAGCTGGTAGAGGTGGAGCTAGTTCTAACTACTTTATATATTAGGTAGTTTAGTCCAATGTCTCAAGCCCCTCCAAAGGGTCACAAGACAAGTCTGTGGGGTCATGAGATGATGAATGGGAAAGGAAATAAATGCATGAAATGTATTCATCTTTTGGACATTCCCCCTATGGTTGCTCTTTTTGTAAAATATTTGATAATTTTACCTCTTCATCTCAACAACTACTCATCAACTCATAGACCTCTGAAATGTGACAAGGGGCACTAACTGGACTGCTTATTTGGTCACAATATAAAAATGTTGGGAACAACTAGTTTAATGTTGAACAATGCACTGTACTTTGTAAGTGTATCTTTTTTGTTTAAATGCAAAATGTTCAAATTAATTCTAAACTAGAAAAAAAAGTTAAAAAAATAGATTTCCTGCTAAAATGTAGTCGAAGCAGAAAGTTGCAGAAAATGAAAATTGTAAATGTTCTTTGTTACTGCTCACAGCTGATTACAATATAGATGGAGTGGAGAGACAGATGGCAGAAGAGCAGAGAACACACAGAGGGGAACCCTTCTGACATCACCTCGGTCTATTTTAGGACAAGCTGAGGACACAAAAATTGGAGGCTGGGACTCTTACTCAACATATCTCCGCTGTGAAGTAATGAGAAATAAAATACACATCAACCTTTGTCACTTATCTGTAAGATTGCCTTGTTTGTGTAACACCTAGGCAGTGGATCATCTGTACATTATAATTCTATGGGCGTACGGCTTGTCATCTGTTTTGAGATTCTATGCACATCTCGTGGCCAGAGGGCATTTCCCTCCTGCTCTCAGTACAAGGTTCCACTGAACCGATATGACACACAGACAGACAAGATATTTTCCCCATAGTCAACACACAATGATCCAGAGAATTATGACCTTGTTCGGTTTAAGCAAAGCTATTTTTCTTTAATTTAAAACTCAGCTTGGCAGACAATTTCACTCATCCTTGCCTTTGTCTCATGACCTTAAATGCAGTAATGTAGTAACAGGAAGGTGATTTTTGCTTCCATCATCTGTAGCTCACTGTTCAAGGTTATCAGCATGTGTGGAAGCTATGGAATAATGTGTCCAGATTGTATCTTGCATGAAAAATAAGGTATGTGAAAGATATGTGGTTGACAGGTGACCCATTTGCCTCAGGGATACTGAGATCAGCAGGAGCTTCAATTTGACAGTCACAGAAAAAAGGTGATCTGCTTCCATCTGGTGTTCGTGTGCTGATACTGCAGGCAACATAATCATCAAGTAACAAACACTGTTCATAGTATCAATTATGGCCACCTCCAGTATGTGACAGTTATGCAACTGACATAATCAGCAAATAACAGTAGAGCATCAACATTTATTAAATAACCCATAATGACTAATGTGATAGGCACAGTGAAATCATTCAATCATTAGACAAGCTATGCTTTTGAATGAGTCAATGTGTTCCTGTTTAATTTTCTAGTAAAGACACAGATCATAACCTTGTATCCATCAAGGCTGACTTGTTCAGTATGCATCTCACAGATTGAGCAGTCCTAAATCGTACAGTCTTAAATCAAAAATGTACAATTCAAATCATGTAAAATATTCAGAACACCTTCCCAATATTGCGCTGCATCGATATTTGCCCGATCCACAAACTTCCTTCACCATCCAGAAACCTTCTTCTACCTATAATGACTGACTGGAGTTAGCAGAGGAAATGTTGGATCGAGGCTTTCATGGTGAGAATATTTAATGGACAGGTGTATAGTACTAGATAGTAAAGTGAATATTTTGCACTGTACAATATTCTGTACACTCTGCTGTGTATGACAGGAGAAACACAGCTGACTTCTTTTGGTACAGTGTCACTGATTTTACACCCAGTTCCCCACCTAAAATGAGTCTCTGAGAAGGTCTCATGGGCCATGGACCTCATTGGTTTTCCTTTTCCAGGTACTCCAAGCTGGGCGCATCCAATCTCTGTTCATGGTTGCGATTCTTTGTGAACTCCTTCAGCAGATCCATGACCTCTCCTTGGTAAACGTCAGGGGTGGGATAAGCTTCTGTAAGAAAATAAGAGGAACATACTTAATTCTTTACAGATTACAACTCAGCCTCTTTAAAATATTAATTGGAGGGGGGAAAGCGAGGTGAGATTTCAGATATGGACACAGAGGGAAGCCCTTCTGACATCACTGTTGGTCTATTTCAGCACTAGCTGAGAACATGAAACTGAAAAGGTGAGATATATTCTTTCATATTGTAGAAATGGGAAAACTATGGTCCTTCAAGGACAAGAAAAAAAAAAAAAAAGGAAACTGTCCGCAACAGCTTTAATTTGTTTTTTTTGCAGAGCGTTGCTTCCAAATTGATGTGCTGATTCTGTTTCTCGGCTCTTATGTGTAACAAAACAGACAAGTAATTGAATCAAATTGAGAGGAAATTAGAAGAATAAAATAAATAAAGTTATACTGGGACAGTGAATGAGCTCCCAAGGTGAAGTCCCAAAAAGAACGGTAATAAAAAAACAGCAACAGAATTGAAGTTAATTTGTAAGCAGAGCTGGGATTACATTATTTCAGCATCAGTAGCCATGAATGATGGCCAGTTTAAAAAAAAAGACATTTATACCCATTGGAGTTTTCCACATTGTGTTGTGTTGCAGACTGAATTTAAAATGAGAATGTCTGCTTCCTTTGTTTCCATTAACATAAAACAGCAAGTCAAACCAGGCATTTGTTATTTGCAATTTGTATAAACATTAATATTGCAAAGCTGAAATGTTTTGGTGTCATTAAATATTTAAAACGTTTCGCAGTAAGAATCTAAAGTATATCCAAATATCCTTCAAATTATGTCTATCTGCTGCCAGCTCACTTATTATTTGTTTTAATGTATTATGTCTACTGTACTGAACAGTAAAATAACCATGTTCTCACCTGTTGCCCAGTAGTAGATGTCCCAGTCATTGCTTGGTTCATTAATCAGTCTGTCATACTGCCGCAGCTGCTTCTCACTCATTGTGTTCAGGTACTGCTTTGCAAAAAGGCTGCAAGAGAGATGGAGAATTGATTTGAGTCTTTTCTCCAAATGGAAAGTCACAGTTTCTGGTAATTACCTGAGCAGCTGGTGAATGGGTTGCACACTGGGAACTTATTCTTCTTCGGGCTCCTTCACGTTGCATTACTGCCTATTTCTGGTTTTAGTGGTTGTGAATGTCCCGATATTCTATATTTGTTTAATTAATCCAGTGGCTCACAAAAATCTAAATACCTCCATACTCTAAAATCTTTTTTACACCAATCTCTAATAATCTTAATCTCTGTAGCTGTGGAACCATTTCCAGTCTTTCTACTGTTTACTTCCTACATGATATAAGACAGAAAGATAAAAACAGTAGAGTTTAACAACCTGAGCAAAATGCAGTTCTCCAACATGCCCCTCTTGCGACTCTCATACAGCAGGCGGCGCCTCTTGATGTCAGTGGGCTCGCCGGGCTTCTCCTCCCAAGGGGGCAGAGGGATCTCAATGAGGTCCCCTCTGGTGTCCTCTGGCGCATCGCCACGGTAACCACGTGATGATACCAGCCCTGTGACTGCTGGTCTCCATGCTGCCTGACACACCCCCGTCACCAGCTGACAGGCAAAAAACACACATTACAACAAATACTAGTGTCGTGTGTTGTATTTTATTATCCAGTACACGTGCTGAGTCAAACAATTCAATGTGCAATCTGCTCAAAATCTGTTGAAAAAGGCAGTGTTGTTGCTGACCCTGATCTACATCTAAATATCCAACTTTATTTTGTGGAAGATCAGGACTTTTTATGAAGCGTTATTCAGACATTAGATAAACATGTAAAATGACCATGTCTTAATAGGGCTTTATGTAGACAATATGAGAGGTCAATATTATATTTTTTATAAAGCTGGAGGCTTACAATAGTAATTAGGGTTTTTTTTTAAAACAATTTCTATATATTAGTTTGTATATTTATTCATCCAGCAATTTAGATATTTTGGTATTAATTTAGCTCAAAGTACTTTCCAATAGATAAAGTTGTGTTTTTAGTTTGATATCAATACACCGACACAGTCAAAAACAGACAGGGACGCAGAGGGTTAATTACATAATGTCACACTGCGCTGTTGTACAACTGTTTACTCCTGGATTGTACAACTGTCCTCTAGCAGGACACGCTTCCTGCATCACGGCTAATAACGTCAATGCTACAGCACTGAAAGACAGGATTCACACTGGCACTTTAGAACATTAATACAAGGTTGTTACATCAAATTATTAGATGACACTAAATCATGTGTTTATATCTCGTCTAGTCTAGTCCTCCTCGACGAGCTCATTCCGACGACTGTAGCATTCAAACTTCAACCAACAAAAGGGTACAAATAAATGCAACGTTCACAAGGTAACTCACTCTTTTCGCAAGGACAGAGGACAGCATTTTGACCCTCTTTCTTGAGACGTCGAGAGACTTCTAGACGAACTGCTTCTTCGCCGTGTTTGTGGAGACTGAATGTCAGACAGAAAACAGTCACATTACACAAGCTGGCTGCGCGTCACAGCAGCACACGGGAGACTAACGAGGGGGGACCGGAAACAGCGCACACACGACGCCATATTGCTACGGTAACGGCGATGTTTAGCTGCAGGAAAACATAATTGGCCAGTGTTAGTTCGTCGGTGTGGTGTAGTGAAGGAGTATTACTTAACTGGCGTATTTTCAGTTATTTTATATAATTAGTGTCACAATCAAAAGCGTGTCCCTCACGTCAGAGTGTGAAGGGGCTTGCCCATAGGAACCAATGTTGTTTGTTGTTGCTAACCGGTGAAATAGTCCGGACGGATTTAGCTCAATGATCACGTACTAGCAATCTTAGCATTAGCTGAGGCGAAACTATTTGCATATGCACTCGTACATGAGAGGCGGTGCATGTGTTTTCAAAGTGTCCATTAAAGTATTATTTCTTGCCATATGTCCGCTGGTCGTATTATCGGTTTGGCATCATATGTTATTGTTTGTTTTAGCCACGGTAGCATCATCTGCGGTTTCGTGGCGGAACGTTGGTTGACGTTGGCTACCGGTAGACACAAGGCTTCACAATAACAACACATCTTGAACACTGGCGGTGCACTTGTTGTCGTAATGCGCTGATCCTTTAGCAAAGTGAGGGTGCTACACTGAAAGCAAGACAGTAGCGCCAGTCGCAGTCCAAGCAGCCGGATCACCTCAGGCCCGCGGGATGGCTGCTGCAGGACGGGCAGCCGGACCCGGTTCCTCCAACAAGGCTCGCATAGATCTGTACAGCGACCTGAATCAAAACGACGAAGTGAGTTTGTAGTTTTCTTGTTTTTAATCGCAGCAGGTGCATCCGTTAAAGCAGCACAGGGGTGAAGGTGTAAAGTTGTCGGTGGAGTTGAAGTGCACCTTTTCATTTCTGGAGTGAACTGACCGCAAATGTTTTTTGTACTCAATGAAAATAAAACGGTCCATGGTTTTTTTTTTTTGTGAGCCTCAGGTACAGTCACTTGAGTAGACACTGTTCATCTTCATGGGATGTTGTGCAGTCATGTGTTCAGGTGTGTAGGTTTGTTTCAGCTGAGGTACATCCAGTGAAGAGAAGATAAGATAAGATAGTCCCACAATGAAAACAGCAGCAAAGTGGATAGAGA